ACTAATAGTAATAGTATAAGTATAGATTAAATTATTGATGAATTTTATTCTATAAAAGCTCGTCGAACACAACTTCAGTGAATATTAAAAAAAAAAATATGTGACTTTTTTTAAAATGAGTATTTAAAATTTTAGCCCAGTCCACTCATAATTTCTGGATCCGTCCCTGCTTCCAGGGGCTGTACACCTCCACTGACCGTGAATTCCCAATCGTAAAGCTCGACCGCCCATCCATCACGTACACCCGCCCCTGGAGCCCACACGCGAAGCAGCCCCAGCGCGGCCTGGGAAGGCCCTCGATAGGCGCCCATGAATTTGCATCTGGGTCGTACACCTCTGCACACGAGAGGGACTCTCTTTCTGCCCCGCAACCCCTGACTGCATACACCCGCCCGTCCACCTCAGCGCATGCAAAGTCATAGCGAGCCACATTCATGCTCGCCAGTTTGCTCCACCTGAGGTAAAAAAAAAATAATACTCATGCATGTATGGTTTGGAAAGTCGTGCAACTGACTTACACAATATTAACGTAAACAGAAAAGCAAAATAAAAACAATACAAAACGTTGTATTTGTCGTGTGGTGTTGGAATCTAGTTTGATAGATGGATGGCTACAGGGACCAAATGCAACTAAAAAGAGATGAAATTATTTGACAATACAATTTTGAGGACATGTACTCAACAGCAGCTCTCGAATGTCTCAACTATTTAACAAATCACGAGCATGAGTTATTCCAGTACCAAAAGTCAAATTCAAAAAAGCAATAAAACTGATTTGTTTGGGCAACAAAAATATGAGAACAATAGAGTTAACCTGTTCAGACACGGATCATACTGGTAAACATCCGCCGAGACAGAACCAGTCCCTTCTACAACGAAATATCCAGCAATGACAAGAAGTTTTCCATTGAGAGCAACAACACTAAATCCTACCTTAATAGGCCCAGGCATTGCTGGAAGTCGCCGATGTTTGTTTCCAAGACAATCTTGAACCTCCCAGTGGCTCTCTTTCCCTTCAGCATCCAGAGTCAATATATAAAGCCATTCCTCAAGCATACCAGCCAGTTTTCGAACAGTGGTGAACTCTTTGCTTTGGATGAAGGATCTCCATCTCTTAGACACAGCACCCATAGCAGGGAAATCATTACCTGAACTCAAGTGGCAAACAAATTTGTTAGAATATCACTTGTGAGTTTCATACATGAAAAATAGACCCACCTTATAAGTCTAATGGGCTACTCCTCCTTCCACTATTTGGTTTTTGGATGGAACCCCACTTGGGCTTCATATGGGTTTCCCCGCTTATGGTGCGCTTCATGTTAGTGGGCCCGCACCCGTTTTTCCACCAGTTTTTCACATGGTATCAGAGCCGGTTCTATGTGGGACCGTGAAATGACGTACCCATTTACCATCATGTTTATAGTAGTGCTTGGGCCCACGTACCCGTTTATAGGAGCCTGTAGGTCTTGGGTCCACGTACCCGTTTATGGGAGCCTGTTTCTCGTAGGACTTTAGCTTTCGAAGGACTCACAAGTGAGGAGGCGTGCTAGAATATCACTTGTGAGTTTCATACATGAAAAATAGACCCACCTTATAAGTCTAATGGGCTACTCCTCCTTCCACCAATTGGTTTTGGGATGGAATCCCACTTGGGCTTCATATTGGTTTTTCCCGCTTTGGTGCGCTTCATGCTAGTGGGTCCGCAATCATTTTTCCCCCAAAACCGCAGAAAGACCAGTCTTTGAAGGACAGGATTGTAACTCTACAACATTTTCAGCCTCAGGCTGTGAAAAACGTGTGGTATGACCTGGATTTTAATGGCAGCTTCTGTAAATAGATGCAAAATGCAGGGCCATTCAAAACTGCAGCTTCAAAGGTGAGAATTTTAGTGGCAGGACATGTAAAAAGACAGCAAATTCAGGGGCTTTAGCGTACACAAAAAATTCCACGTGTCGGCCTAGAATTGACTTACATTTTCTCTTATATGAATAGGAGAGAGATTAGTTAAATCACGTGTACAATGCTTACTATTCATTACAAATCTCATCTAGGCAATATTGAATGTATCTAAAATAATCTTTGTTTTTTTT